CTATACTATGCTATGCTATGCTATGTTATGCTGTACTATGCTCTATACTATACTGTGCTGTACTGTGCTGTGTTATGCTCTGCTTTGCTATGTTCTGCTATTTTATTCTACGCTATGCTATGTTATGCTACGCTATGCTATGCTCTGCAATTATATTCTATGCTATGCTATGCTATGATATGCTATGCTATGCTATGCTATACTATGCTATGTTATGCTATACTATGCTATGCTATACAATGCTATGCTATGCTGGAAAACAACGTACCTTGCTGCCACCATCGCGTCGCGGTCGGTACCAGGATAGCGTGACGAAGGTAGATCCAACCTTCTCTACCTGCAGGTTGACCGGCGGTTCCGGTACACCTGTGACGCAATCACACAGTAAGTAAGAGCTTCAGAAATGGTAACCGGTATTTTATTGCCAATGTCGCGTCAGTTGGTCATCCTGCCGCACGACGTACCAGGTACAGAGTATAGGAGTATCAGAGTACGCGCTCGCTAATATAAGGTGAGCTAGGAGTCTCAACAAAGATGCCGGATCTACGCAGATCCACAGATCAAGTTCCGTCATCGATGAACCAGAAGGCAAACTACAAGTAATTTTACTACGGCGGAAATCGGCGAAAACGCTGCTATAGATGCCTATAGATAGATTAATGGTATACATGCTCAGATTAATAATGATAGATTTTGATTAATCATTTAGATATTAATTAGATAGACTAAGGGTCAGTAGGCACTCACTCGTCGGGTTCTTTGCCACTACGGGCTTGGACGGCAGGCTGGGTTCTCCTGGCCCTGCAGCGTTGACGGCCGTCACGCGGAACTCGTACTCCGTGCCGTCGATGAGGCCCGTCGCCTGGTACGTCGACGTCGTGTGCGGAGTCTTGTTGCACGACGTCCACTCGATCATGTGCTTCACGCGTCGCTCGATCGTGTAGCCTGCGTGTGAGCGTGCGTGGGAAGACGCGGTGTTGTTAGCAGTGTAGCACGTAGCATGTAACGCGTAGGTTGTGTAATGGCGGCGAGAGTACGTGTGAGATACCTATCCTCGATACGTGTGAGATATACGCGCCGTATATATATATCTGCAGCAGTTATTACTAGTAGAATAATAAGATGCTGCGTTGTGCACGTGCATTCCGCACATATCATATATCATCTATATAATGTCGAATTAAAAATTCTAATGAGATTACGGTTTTTATGAATATGATTATGAATTTTATTGAATATATATTACGGTTTTTATGAATAGATACCTATGAGTTTAGAGCCGCCGTCCTTTAGTGGTGGTTTCCATCGGATCGTGATTGCTGATGACGTAACGTCCGTGATGTCAGGCGTAGTCGGTGGGCCCGGTGGGTCTGCAGCCAATATACGAAACCACGTCGAAGACATAGCTAGGTAGGAATAGTAGCTAACGTATCTAGCATCTTATATCTGTTTTCAAGGTGTAGCACGTTGATATGTAGTGAATGCAGTGGAAGTGTTAAAGTAACATATGGGTAAAAATGTCTGCGTGTTTAGTTAATCAAATAATCGATAACATTTTCAATAACAGGTGTATCTGGACGCATAAATACATTCACATGACTGCGTAGAACGCCGTTTAATAACGCCGTTGTAGTCCAATATGCAGCATGAACGACTGAATTCATTTGCAATCGCTTTTCGATTGATTTATTCCGCAACCACGGAGTCTATGAATCTTAATTCTGCACACCTAGAAGATATATTAGTAGAGTACGCAAATAGAGATATTCTCCTATTCACGAATCTCCTATCAACCTCTCCTAGATCGAGTCCTCTATTCATCCACTCCAGATACTAGTACATGGAGCAGTTCTAGTAAAACATCTGCTCGGCGACACATTATGCTGAAGCCATGCATGCACAATCGAGAATGTTTTACAGTATGTCTACAGTTTATCTACAGTATATGTACAGGTACGTTCTACGGTAGGTCATCGAGGTGGGGGCGCCTGCAGCGGCTCTCACTCACCGTACGGGTCCTTAGCGGTGAAGGTCTGTCCGACCAGGGGCTCGCCCATGCCGTAGATGTTCTCACCGCGCACGCGGAACAGGTAGCTGGCATTCGGCTGCAGCTTCTTAATGGTCAGCTTCGGGTGGCTGACGACACCGGACATGCGCGTCCAGCGATCGCGGCTGCTGTCGTAGCGCTCGACCACGTAACCTGAAAGATGGCTGCCATCTTAGAATCCACCCATCATGCGGTTGGGTGGGTTTGGTTAAGGATATATGGGGTCCAAAGCATGTAAACGCCATACAGGACTATATCTATAACCCTATATAATTAATATGTCGATGATGGTAATTATAACGCCGAACACATGATTCGTATATATTATACATAATATATGGCATTGGTGCTCGACCACGTGACCAGAAAGATGGCAGCCATCGTAGAATCCACTCCATCTTGCTGTCGGGTGGTGAGTGGGGTGATGGTGGGGGAAGGAGGGTAAGAATACATGGTGTCAAAATCATGTAAACCGTATATAAGGCTATGGCTAAAAACATATATATAGTTTATATGCTCCTAATGGGAATTATATGTTCGGCGTTAGCCGTGTCGGGGTGCAAATAGACATGGGATCACGAGGATATAAACCCTATATACGGGCTACAACTATAAGCCTATATAGGATTTATGTGTTCTTGATGGGATTTTATGTTCGGCGTTAAGATTAGTGTTTCGTCTGCTATAAGGTGACGATGTACGGTAAGTGGTTGCGTTGTGATATCATACCGGTGAGATCGACACCACCGTTGTCAGCCGGTGGCTTCCAGTGTAGTGTCACAGTGTTCTTCGTAACATTGCTGGCAGTTAGAGGTCCTTCCGGAGCTTCGGGTTTGTCTAAAAAAGGAAATATAGTTCTTACTTACAATGTCGTTTACGTAATTCAATTATATTATCATCTCGAGCAACCGTTGTACTGAGGGGCCTATAAAATGTTTCTCTGATCTTGTTTTTTTCAGAAATTTTTTCATGAATGATGACAAACAAACACTTAAGAATGTCGCCGAGTAGCACAACAGAACAAGCATGCGGTTTACACTGGGTGGGCCAGGCCTTTACTAGACATTACAGACATTAGTTACGAACAGATATGAATAAAGTTCGAAACGAAAACTCCTATCATAACTTTCTTACGGTTTGATGAAAGCTCGAACCCACATTGAACGCTGTTATTTGCATCAATTGACAACACGCGCACAGACTGGCACACGAAGCCAAGCTATCGTGATGAACACTGACCGACGACAATGACGTTGAACTGAGCCGTCTCCTTGCCCTGACTGTTCTCGATCGTTAGCTGGTAGGGGGCGGTGTCGTCGCGCTGCGCGGGGCTGATGTACATCTTAGCGTACGTCTCGCCGACGTTGATCGTCACGCGCTCCGTATTGCGCATGGTCGCTCCATCCTTCTGCCAGGTGACCTTGGGAGCCGGAGAGCCGGAGATGCGAACGCTGAGGTCGATCGGGTCGCCTGCGCGCACCTTGATGTCCTTGCCGAGCACAGCATCCAGATGAATCTGCGGCTTCTCTGCACGATTCGTCGAACAGACCATAATGAGCACGCAGTCACTACAGGAGATTCGCTCTCGTTAACAGTGGGCGTTGAATATGCGGAGTACAAATATTAGAGTCGCATGTGCGGTTATATAACCAGTATTTTTACTAGTACGCATAGTACGCGTACACGATGAGAAGAATAGGCTTACCGAACTCTGGTTTTGCGGTGACGTGAATTGAAGGCTCGCTAGGCGGGCTGGGGCCTGCCGCGTTCACGGCATATACTCGGTACATGTAGTCGCATCTTTCACGCACGTTCTCATCTCTATAATCACATTCCTGCAAACATTTTCCGTACGTTACATATATAAGAATGGTGCAATAATGACGCGCGCATGTGCACGTGTGCTGTGTGCGTGCATGCTTTCTTTTATATATATATATATATATATATTAATATATATATATATATATATATATATATAAAGGGTAAATAATCTATAGTTTGACTCAACTGAACATTACCTGTGTCGACATTATTCACCCCTGACCCCTGATATATCTATCTATATATATATATATATATATGCCAAAAATCATATTACAAGTTATCTTTGACATAGTATGAATTATGATTTTCGAATAAGCGATATCTACCAACCTTTTGCGGGGATCTGCTTATGAATGTCCAGGCAACGCCCTTCTTGTCCTTGCGTTCAATTGTGTAGCCCAGAATGGGGCTGCCGCCATCGCTCTTTGGTGCTGTCCATTCCAATGAAATGAAAGTCTTGTCAAAGCTAACAATCTCTGGCTTCCCTGGTGCTTTAGGCTCCTCTGAAATGAGCGATGAAAGAACACTTCAACAAACAAGCCAACCCTCCTTGCGAGTGCGTTGCAAGCTCGCTCATGCGTAGTTACTTCGTCGTTCGACTCGTTGCCGATTATAGATAAGACCAGTATTACGAACCGATTAAGACCAGTATTACGAAGAATCATATTCTCCACTAAGAAGTTTTAACGGTGTGGTTTTTTCTGTGACTGCGTGTAAGCCTATCGGGGCCTTAATAATCGGGAACGTGATATCAATATCTCATAATAATATTTTCATATATGTGTGCGCGCGCGTGTGTGCGTGTGCGTGTGCGTGTGCGTGTGAGTGTGCGTGTGTGCGTCATGTTATATATTGTACCATGTGTTATCTATTATCTATATACGTGTATAGTAGTTGATTGAGGAAGACTTGTGCTGTAGGATAATCCTGACGCTCATACCGTATGGGTTCTTTGCCAACGTCGCTTTCTCCGTGGCCAGCGGCTCCGATAAACCGTTGATGTTCTCTGCCATCACTCTGAAGTCGTACTTGACGCCTGGCTTCAGCTTGGTCACCTTATGCGAGGTGTCGGACACGTAGTTACTCACTCCGGTCCACGTTTCCTTCTTCGCTCGTTTCATTTCCACAACGTAGGAACTGCAAACGAATAACACATTTTTATTATACTCGCACGATACATCGTGCATGTGACATTATAGATTATTGACAGAAGAGGATATTGTAATAACATATCGTATTGAGAACAACGTATTTTTATTATACTTGCACGATAAATCTTGGCAAAAAGCAGCGAATATGAATATAATTGAACATTGGCAGGAGAGGATATTGTAATTGCATATTGTAATGAGAAAGCGTCAGGCAGCCCGTGCACGCGGTATAATGAGCCGAAAACGCCTGACATAAATATCGCTGTAGATGGCGCTGATTCTGCGCGGAGAGACATTCTTAGCGGGACTGCGAGGACGTACGTAATGTCGGAACCGCCGTCATCCTTGGGCTTTTTCCACGACAGCACACAACTGGTCTTCGTAACGTCCGACACGTGCAGCGGTCCATCGGGTGCAGCTGGCACGTCTGAAACAACGAGCGATGATCAACGCTACCTCTCTCCCCACGTCATCCACAATATCCGCAACCGCAACCTACCGACAACCGCACGCGCACGCACTACTACTACTGCTGCTGCTACTGCTGCTGCTACTGCTAATGCTACTGTCTACTGCTACTGCGCTACTGCTACTGCTAACTGGCTACTGCTTTTTTTGTTTTTTTTTTTTTTTTTTTTTTTTTTTTTTTTTTTTTACTGCTACTACTACTACTACTACTACTACTACTACTACTACTACTACTGCTAGATCAACCTCAAATCCTCAAAACAGCATATTTCATCGTTGGATATTTCGTAAATATTAATTATTGTAATTAAATATTTTCCAGCGGGCGTCGAAGTAACGTCGAAACTACGAGATTTGAGTTGTTCACGTACCGATGACCGTGACGTTGCACTCAGCCGAGTCCCTGCCGGAGTCGTTGTGTAGATGCACGGCGTACTGTCCCCTGTCGCCACGCTTGGCGCTATGCACTGTCAGGTGCGTCGACAGGTCGTCGGTGCGAATCTCGCACTGGCCCGTCGATAGGATGTGTGAGCCGCAGAAGTGCCACTCCACCTCCGGCCTGGGCGTTCCGCTGTAGAACAGGTCCAGGCTGAAGGGATAGCCGGCCTTCACCTTGATGTCTTTCAGCGAAGAGCGATCGATCCTTGGCGTTTCTGCATCGGTGAAAATAGATAATCGATTGCATGGTATGGCGATTAGACAAAGAGACGCGGTAAATCCAGTAGCAAAAGTGCTATAAATAACACCTAAAAATGACAATTACAATAACAACAATAATAATAATAAAAAATAATAGTGATGAATAAATAATAAAAAACCGTACTGTTTGCAACAGGCTATAAAAGTATTTTACTTACAACCTTTTCAACACAATTATTCATGAAACTCCTCGCTCTATTACTTGTTTAATTAGTATAATGAATGCAGGCAAAAATATGCTACAGAAACTACAGTACTCTCTAATGCTTCAAAACATATAGTATAAAGATTGTTATAACAGATTATACAATTACAATACGCCAAAAATTCTTTAGCTATTCTACGCATGACGCTAGCTTTCATCAGATTCTTCTCAAAATATTCACAAGAGAATGAAAAAGTTGACTGCTATATATATATATATACGAGCGAGCGTGTGTGCGTGCGTGTGTGCGCCCGTGTGCGTGCGTGCGTGCGTCCGTGTGCTTGCGTCCGTGCGTTGACGTGGGTTATGATAGCTTACCGGGCTGATCGACGATTTCGATGTTACTTGTAGGCCTGCACGGTTCGGACACGTGACCAGCCTCGTTCTCAGCACACACGCGGAACATGAACACGTCGCCCTCTGGTAGGTTGGATACGGTGAACGATTCTCCGGACACGGGGTACCTAGATTATACACAGTGACATACCGCGTATGAATATTTCACAAATAAATCTCGTGAACTCGTCGCTGACTATACCATCTTTATGACGTATCAAATCATAAGCTGATCGCACACACGTGGGGTAGTACAGCGCAACTATGTTTTGTAAAGACAATTCAGGCCTCCACTTCGCACGTAGTCATGTTCATAAATTCGACCTGTTAGCATTGCTGTTGCAAACTATCAATGTAACTATCAATGCATAAAAGGTTCGTTAAAAACGATGCACATTGTTATTAAATTATAAAATATATCCTAATATTCCTAAATATTATGATGAAATGAAAATAGCTTTGATGTATGCTATCGATGCGACAGTAATAGATTGAGATGGCCTTTGTGCGCTTCGAGCTAGCGCTTACCTTTTGGACTGCGCCCATTCCTTGCCGCGGCGTTTGCTTTCTACGAAGTAACCCGTGATGCGGCTGCCTCCGTCCTTCTTCGGCTTCTCCCAGGAGAGTGTCACAGAGTGTCTTGTGATCTTGTCGACTGTGAGGTTGCTTGGCGCGTCCGGTGGATCTGCAAGCGAGCAATCACGTGATCAGCTCGTGACAAACACGCTGGTTTCATATTGATGACATCAATGAATAAATGTCGGTAATAATCGTTATATCCCAGTCATATGTTTTAAAGACTAGTTAAAAGATCTATTTTACTCACATGTCTTGACCCTGGTCTCGACCTTCTGTGACGGCTTGCTTGGTTCGCCGGGTCCTGCAGCGTTGACGGCCATCACGCGGAACGCGTACTCCTGGTTGCGGACGAGCCCCGACGCCGTGTACTCCAGGGCATTGATCGGGTTGTAAGTGGCCTTGATCCAGTCTAAAGAGCCGACCGTGTGCTTCTCCACTATGTAACCTGTTAGCGACAGAAGACGTCTATACAACGCTCACCAAGAGTTCGTGCAGTGCTACATCGGATCGAGGCCACGAATATACGTTATTCTTACAAAGAGATACAAAGAGATTTGTCGAAACACAGTTTGTCGAAATTGCGTCGTTGTTTGTGGTACAGTTTTTAATATTTGTGGTTTTCATTTGGATGTTTTTCATTATTTTCCATGTTAGATTGAAATTAGTTTCCACGATGTCAAGTTTATACATACCGGTGATACTGTTTCCGCCATCGGATTTCGGTGCCTTCCACTTCAGACTGACGTTGTACATGTCATAGTCGGTGACGTCTAGTTGAGTAGGTGGTCCTGGCGGGTCTGCAAGAGTTAGCGGGCGTATAGCGTTTACAATATATATGTGTATGAGATAAGCTTACTATATAAAAAAAATTATTGCATCATTGCATGTGTATTTTAGCATATTATAGAAGATATTCTTTGAAGATGGGCTTTTGTGATTTTCTTCTATTTTTGTTCATTATGGTTAAATTGCGATAGTCCTGCCCCGATGTGTTCATTGCTAATTATTGGTTATTAATTATTCATTATTGATGTCAGTATTTATTCTAACAACACGCGCAAAGAACGCCAACAACAAACGCGGATAATTACCGTATGGACTCTTGGCGACAAAGCTGGTGCCCTCTAGCGGCTCGCTGAGGCCGTACAAGTTCTCGGCGCGCACGCGGAACAAGTAGCTGTGGTTCGTCTCCAGCTTCTTAATGTTAATCTTCGGCACGGACACGCTGCCCGGCATTCTCGCCCACTTGCCACTGTTCGCGTTATAACGCTCGATGACATAGCCTACAGAGTGAATGCAAGGCGAGTTCAGAGGTCGAAGGTCAAAGAACGCAGAAATAAGAACGACGAAGAATGAAAATGCTCCGAAAACGTCGCAGCGTGACGTCGCAGAGAGGCGATGATAATGATTATCAGAGATAATAATAATAATAATAATAATAATGATAAAGAAGTGATGAGATCAGTGTAGTAGTGGAATGGCTACATAATTATACTTCAGTGTTTAATTTAATGTTTATCTTACTAATATTAATCTACAGATTATATATCGACTGCACTTATGTACGCACGCACGTATATACGGATAGCAGAGAATAAAAGCCACAACATAAATTCGAAGAGGAAAGTGTACGAATATAGGCAAAATATTACACTTTCTAAGCGCTTCGTTAATAAGGAAGTGACGAATGACGATGGTAAATTCATTCTATACAAACAAAACATCGCTGGACACGCATGACTCTCATTCAGACAATTGTGAATTTGCACATTAATAATTCAACGGAGTATAAGATTCAAGAAAAAAACAGACGGTAAACGTGTCTTACCAGTGACGTCAATTCCTCCGTTGTCATCCGGAGGGTGCCATGTAAGAGTAACGGAGTTCTTGGTGATTTCTGCCGCCTTTAGCGGACCTCGGGGTATGCCTGGCTTGTCTGAGGACGGGAAACGTAAGCATTAGCATTCTGGCGCAAATGCATGAACGCACGGGATTGTGTGTGGGTGAAATACAGCCGGTAAATCTACGATGATAAACGTAATCCAGATAAAAATCGGTTCTAATGTAGAGGCTATGAAAACGTAAACATTTGTGCCTACCAAGCACGAGAACGCTGATTTGGCCAGTATCGCCGCCGGAGCTGTTGGTGAGAATAACGTCATATTTGCCGCTGTCGGACCGCTCTGTCTTTGGTATCATCAACGTCACACTCGTCTCCGCCACGTCTTGCTGAAGCCGATTAGACACGGGCAGTACCTGAATTCGAAAAAAACAAGCACGCATATAACAGTATAATATATAACAATATAATAATAACGGGGATGATAAATGCGACGATGACGATCCATACAAAACAATTTATTATGATGATGAATTAATAGATGTAGTTTATGAATTAGTTCAGTAATTGAACGCTGGGGGGTGGCAGCGTCATCAGCGAGAGCATAAGATAAGTGAATGCGCGACATCACAAGTCAACGGTATCAGAATTTCGGGAGCGAAGTGTCGCGCATAGGAGATTTTAGACATTTTAGGCAGTCAGGATCTATTTATGATGTTCCTGACAACGGGCGCATATATTTCGAATGCAGGTTTTCACAGGTAGTGTCACATGAGAGACAATTGACCATACGTATACCTCGCCGTTCTTCCTCCATTCGACATCTGGTGTAGGAGCACCCGTGATTGCGATTTTCAGATTTAGATCTTCGCCAACTCGCAGACGAATATCCTTTGATAAGATGAAGAGTCTGGGCTTCTCTGCAGATGTAATAGGAATGCGCCAATCAGTTCTCTATAGTGTTAGCCTGGCCATTGATATACTTAACAATAACCACATAAGACAAAGTAAATACTCTGTTCGTACGCAAGAACAATCGGTTCGGCTTTTATATAATTAGCATACGGTTGGAGGAAAATGTTGCGCAGTTAATGGGTCGCATAACATTTGTATGGTGCCTCTTGCTATTGTGTTTGTTTTTACAGTTGTTAACTTTGAGGAAATAAATTGCATTTTGTTCGAATGTTGGCTGGCCAGTTACATTCAGTTATATCTCCTACGCTACGCTAATATCGATAATAAAAAACGATATCGATAAATAACTAGTTAACATCTATGTGCACGCTGCCAGCCATATTAATCATCGGCGATAGCAAATGTAAATTCGCTACCAATGTAAACTATAGCAGGCCAGACTATAGCAAGGAAAGAGGAAATCACGGGTTATCATGCTTCACGGTATAGGCAATAACTTTTACTAAAACCACGGGCCGATATTACCACGTACCGAACTGCGGCTTGGCTGTGGCAGGCTTCGATGGCTGGCTGGGTGGACTGGGTCCGGCAGCATTGATTGCCACCACGCGATACTCGTACGTATAGTCGTCCCTGACGGTCATGTCCATGTGGCGACAGTCCCGTGTCGGCTGGCGGGTGACTGCGCTCCACGTGTTGCCCTTCGTGTCTCTCCTCTCGATCATGTAGCCGACGATGGCGCTGCCTCCGTCACTGTGAGGCCGCGTCCACGACAACTCGATGGCAGTCCTGCTGAACGACATGATCTCCGGTCTTCCGGGAGCACTCGGCTCGTCTGTGGATAGGTATTGTAGGATACGTGGAGATATAGGAGCACGGCTAGCACGCATGTCATTACACTTTCAGACTATTACTACGGTCCGCCCATAGCGAGTGTAGCCTCCCCCACAAATACACGCACACACGCATACACACGTGGAGATATTATTTTTTTTAAATACAAGAAACAGAGCGTGGTGCAAGAATTATGTCGAAAGTCAGTAATGATCTGATTAATCGCACGCCCCCTGATACCGAAATTATCGCAAAAAACTGTTATGGGAGATGCACAAAACTGACTTCACGGTTGCTGCATTCAACTTGAATGCTAGATGTGATATTTCCCCGGTCTCATGTCGCCTGCGCAAAGTATCGTATATCAATATGCTGTTTACTAATGATATGTTTGTTGTTGTAGTAGTCGGAGAACAAGAACACAACAGGAACGAGAACACGACGAGAACGACATCACGCAGGTCATGCCTGTAGCGAGATAACGCGCAGACGCGCGCGGCCGCCTACCGTATGGATTCTTGGCTAGCACCGTCTCCGTCGTTGTCAGCGGCTCTGAGAGGCCGTTCATGTTCTCGGCCATCACGCGGAACTCGTACTCCCTGCCCTCCTTCAGCTTAGTGACGTTGCAGTTGGGAGCTGTCACGTAGTTGCTGACCGTCACCCAGTGATCCTTCTTCGAATCTCGCCTCTCGACCGTGTAGGCGGACACCTCGGCGCCGCCGTCATCCTCCGGCGGTTGCCACGACAACGAGCAGCTGCTGCTGGTGAGATCGGATACCTGAAGCGGTCCTCGTGGCGGGCTGGGCTTGTCTAGAAAAACACATCGCGCGGAGACGGTTATCTTCTGCTTTGGTGGCATGGACACCGACATATGGCTAGCGTAGGAGGTCGATTTCAATGTCATATAAGCATGTTGAATAATTAGTTGTACGCAGGCTATGCCTATTTAGTATATATACCGCTCCTCCGTCAGTTGGAGTTAAATACACCATCAATCAGAACCAAATCATCAACATAAAATACACCATCCTCACCGCATCAGCACCAAATACCCCACCAAAACTATACACGTAGAGTCTCCTCCCCCCGTCCTCCGTCAGCAGTAGAATGACTCGTGACTCACCGAGCACGGCAACGTTGCACGTGATCTTGTCCTGACCCGAGCTGTTGCTCAGCGTGAGCATGTACGTGCCCGAGTCCTCGCGCATCGACTTGTGGTTGGTGAGCACCGTCTCGCTGTCGCTGTTCTTGGCGACGACACGCTTGTCGAGCCTGATCGGCTGGCCGTCGATGCTCCACAGGATGTCCGGCATGGGCTCGCCGACGAACGGCACGTCGAGGTAGAACGACTGGCCGGCGCGCACGCGGACGTCCGGCAGGATGGCCTTGCCGACCTTGGGCGCGACTGCGGTGAAGATGCAAGCAGACGTATTAGTCAGCATAGCCACCAACGAGATTAAATTATTTTTATAGATGTAGTATTAATAAGAACTACAGTTTTTGTAATCGGCTATTATTATTACTTTGGGTGCTATGTTGTTGTTGTTGTTGTTGTTGTTATTGTTGTTGTTGTTGTTAATAATAATAATAATAATAATAATAATATTGTCATTGTTGTTATTGTTGCTGTTGCTGCTGCTGCTGGTGGTGTTGTTTTAGTTGTCGTTGTAAACGGCGCTACCATAAACCAGCTATGCGGACTAATACGTCTGCATGCATCTTCACCGCAGTCGCGCCCAAGGTCGGCAAGGCCATCCTGCCGGACGTCCGCGTGCGCGCCGGCCAGTCGTTCTACCTCGACGTGCCGTTCGTCGGCGAGCCCATGCCGGACATCCTGTGGAGCATCGACGGCCAGCCGATCAGGCTCGACAAGCGTGTCGTC